CTCCACTAATGGGTTGCTAAAATCTTTACATTTCATCAATTACATTGTAATTAAGACCTGTCAGCTCGAATTCGGCTTTTTACTGGATGATTACATTGACAACAATTGAAGTGTACGGCAAAGTCGGAAGTTAGTACTGTTACTTGCTGGAAGAGTTTTATTGCTGGCTTGTAATCAAGCATTTCGAAGTCACTATTTAAAGTGCAGTGTCCAGGAAGCGCCTCGCTAGCTATAATTTCCGCTGCCTAAGATAGTTTTCTAAGTGGCGTTGCTTTCACATGTTAATTGTGGTGCATAGGATTGTGCACTATTGCAAACACTGATATTATCAATAGAATGGAAATTGGATTTTACTTTTTTGCTTTTCAAAATACGGGATTGTCAGGTGGCGGAGAGATACTATCTGTGTCTGTGTTTGTGATGCATAACACACACATTTTATCACGAATTTATTATAATTTTATCATAGTATTACTTGTCTTATAGGTCATGATTATGCAATTAAACTACCTAACATGACGTATATTTCAAACAGTACTTTGTGAATTTCTTTGTAGCTATACAAGAAGTTGTATCGGTTTTCTAGACTACGTGATCATAGAAATGAAACATTAGTCTCTAGTTATTGAAGTGGAACTTCAGTCATTGTTCTACTAATTGCACCGGTTAGTGGATATAATATGAATGACATCCATGGGTATCGTTTAACGACATAGTATATGCCCAGCTGCTCGTTCCCTTTGGTTGTATGAGTAATCAAATACGTGAAATAGGCAATAATGCACAACTGTGTGCCGGCGATTTACATGTTATATTTATTGAATAAATATTTTAGCAACCATACGAGCTTATCATCACGACGATTGCGAACAGTCTTCAATGTTTATGTGCATGTCGACGCCCCTAGTTTTTTGACCATTGAATCTTGAATAGTTTGTATTGAACGTCATATTTGAAAAAAAAAACATTGTATTAATTATGAAGTTTTATCATAACGATCTATGCTGGTTATCAGGAAATTTACTATATTTCCGTGTTATATTCTAACACGCGTTTTTGATTGGTTAAAATGACAGACGTTCCATTCAATTCAATTCAGTTCACGATGAAAATGGTACACAGTGACCAATTGAGCACGAGAATGTCACTCATACCCGTAGTTAGCAATGAATATATCACATAATATATTAGCAATTGGTTACATATGTGTAACACAGAATATGCTTAGATCATCAAGTCATTAGCCCGTGTGTGCAATACCAGACCACGGAATGTATGAAATAACATTATGTACAGTGTACATAGACATATAAGGTAGACGTGAATGACATACCAAACGTTAGGATAACTATAGTGTGCACTAAGTAGCCATATGGCTTTTGGTATGTATATTGTATTGTTGCTATCAATGTTATTAGACATGACTACATACAGCCGTGTAAATTGATTTATTTCTCTGCGAGCCTAGACTCGTTTATATTATAATATAGATAAAAGTGTGTGTTAAAACGACTTATTCAATAAGTGTATTGAATATCGTCTTGTCTAGTTTTTTTAATTTACATCATAAACCTGAATGTACCTGCGATGTATTGAGAATTTATGCAAATGGTGAAGCAATGCAGTTGTTTTTGAGTTGGTGTGTAGGATTCCCATGTTTGTGCAGTTTCTTTGCTTGCTCTAATCCCACATCCTGTGTTTGGTACACATGCAGCATGCTCGGATAGAAGATTGAATGAATTCTTTTTGGCTTGTCTTTGTTGCAATTAATTGTATGCGTTTAACACCGTGTCACGAGGTGAGTGGTGAGATGAATGTAGGACTAGCTAATAATAAATCTGTACTGTTGTCATGGCAAAGGATGTGCCATACCGATAGTTAAATGAACATTTTCCTCGTCATAATTAGCATATGTTTCAGTTTTATGGGTTTTTTATAGAGTGGACACAGTGTCATGTCTGATCTGCAGAACATGCGTGCCTTTGAATAAATTTGGCTAAATTTCCTTTTCCATTAGATACACACACCACTATAAACGCTACACACTATTCACATACCACCTTGCCCTTTTAAAATCATGGATGGCTTAAAATTTATTTAACAATAAATTTGAATTTCAACACTTACGTTGGAGAGACAGTAACATAAATTATTTATCTAAACTATACATCATTCGAGCATTAGTAGTAAAAAAATACAGATGTCGAAACAATATATATAGTTCAGCAAAGAGATATTCAGAAGTATTCTCTTACTCTACCAGCTCGATACATTAATTGTTTAACATCAGAATCATTTTTGTTGTTGTAAAAGCAGGGAAGTATGAAAATACTCCACGCTTCAATAAATCAGATTCTAATATCTTCACATCCATGTGTAATATAACATAAAAATCCATACACATCTATCGTGACAGACTATATATTTATATGTACACTATGGCTCATCATATCACTCAACCTTTACACATATACAGACCTCCCACACAAACACCCGGGACAAACACACGCACATAATGAGTCATTTATTTACACATGTTAATTGTTTGAAAATCGATATGTACACACTCAGTAACGTTGATTATATCTCTCTGCAATTATGAGTATACCAATACGCATTTTAGTCACATTTCCCTTGATTTCCCAAAACCTTGATTTTGGTGAAATTCTGTTTCGTTTGCCGTACCCATATGTTCAATTACATCGTGTTACATTTAATTATTATTATGGCAATAGTTTACCCACAGACGTCAGTGTATTGATGGCCTGCATGTGTTCTTCAACTTATACCATATAAAGTCACTCAGTTAGAACAATTTACGTATCTGTTCAGATGAAATTACAGCAAAAAATGTTACGATGATATCATCTCTAGTAGTGTAAAATTACATCAAAAAGACTTTGATGACTAAATACGCATTTAAGTCAGATTTTTCAAAATATATCTTCTTAAAAGTGCTCACAAAAAAAAATATTTTGTCAGGTACCATAATCAGAAGTATGGGATATAAATTACATACTGTCACATACAATTGATATTCGAGAATTGATGTTTTTCTCAGAATTGCAAAAAGCGTAGTAATAATTATGTAAGAAATAATAAAAAAAATAAAATGCTCAATTACATTTATTCAAATATCTTATATATTTATGTTATATGGGTAACTACGTTTAATCATAATAGAAGAGCATTACAATCCTGATTAGATTTTCTTCTATAAACAACTTCTAAATAAAAGATTATTGTATCAAGTAAATAACTGCAATAAATCACAGAGTTAACTATGGAATATACAAATACACGTATACATTGAGCACGATTTCGATTGTTTAAAGACATATAATGGTAGACTATAATGATTATGACCTAATAATTAGGTCTTGGCATGGCAAGTTTTCATCACCATTTTTCAAAGTTCTTCTGACACATTGTGATTATTTCGTTAATGACATTCATGAATATGTATTACTTGTATACATTTGTGAACTTTAGAAACTAACAACACGCGTCAATCACAGAACTTTTATGTAATTAAGTAATAAATTGTTGCCTTCCTGTGATATTGTCTTGACCATCTGTGCGATGCTATTATTATACGAACAAGGCGACTTTTCAGGCAACAGGTTTTTTAAAAAAAAATATTAAATACAGTATCATGAATAAATACAAAATTAGAATACTTATATATACTTATATAATATATGCATTGATAGTTTTTTTTTTTTTTAGGCAACTACACGGTAGATATTGAATGGCGTTTGTGTTCAATTATTAATTGCATACCAACGAGTAGCCAGCATAATTACAGAGGGGTTAACAATCTCTCAGATGTTAGGTTGTTATCCATTACCATATATTATACTTTTATTATAGTAGTATTCTCAGGGTGGGTAAACAATTAAATTAACAACTGATATTGCCATTATAAGACTTTATATGAAGCCAGCTTTGTACATACACTGACACTAACGAACGCCCTGTCATCACGCTTTCTAATTATAATGCAATATTAATAAAATTCACGATTTACAAATTGTCAATAGGCAAACCTGTAAAATACACCACGAATATTCACGTAGAAACGAAAGCTTCGACATCGCAGAGCATCCTGGGAAATGTACGCATGCATCATTCATATGCAAATACGACCAGTTTAAAAACGAGGTACGGTAATCGCAAGCCTCATTCGAACACATTCATGGCAGCCGCATGGTGTACGGAGCTCTTTGTCATCTGGCGATACGATAACACGTTGCAGTCAACACAGGCAGCAGAAATACGAGTAAGCTACTGTTATATTTCTAGCCAACATAGCCGGTAAGAAATACGTTTTTTATTTTGTGATGATCCGTCAACATGTTGCATCTATGTGGGTGTCATCTAGCGCAGTGCCCATGAATAATTGTGTTCGCCACACGATTATTTAGAGATGTAAAAACATTGATGCAACATTGTGCCTTAAATTTGTATACTGCCGTGCGAAATATGCAATTAAATGAAGAGTGGCAGAGTAAATAATTGCTGCAAGTTGTGAATAATCGGATTTGTGACATCCGGTTATACTAAATAGCACTTCGAGGCTTTTAATCTAACCATGAACCATACGTGTTAAAATAAAGCGTTACCGTCAGTTCATTTTCTTCGTCACAGAACGAATTTCATATACTGAAAGAAGACGTCGCCTTCACATCGTTCATTTCCTAAACGAGTCCGCTGCTACACGGACTGGACTCGTATTCATTTCATTTTTCGTACATGACGGCGTGGAATACGAAGTTTGGTGACTGAATCGGAATGCAGCATCTAGTTAGGGCCGTGAGGTTGTTGGCAGAAACATGCAGTGTTTGCGTTTGCTCGTCTTATGCTAAAAAAAGTCGTAAAATGAACAACATTGTATTGAATATAAAAATCAAATAACAGTTTCGTAAAGCACGCATGTGTCTGTACATATTGTTTTTTCTAATAAGGATTTTTTATATATTTCTATTGCAGTTACAACAATGGGCATAACGAACTTCATTAATGCCAGTTTTATCAGTGGAACAGGATTGGCCGGAAACAGCACTGAGGCCGACGACAATTTCACGTGCGGTGTAACTGGAACTCCGTTATATGTTGGAGGTATACTGATCTGTTGTTTCGGATTGCTCTTTAACGGTGCATTTGTTTTCGTGTTCACTCGCGTACGCTACATGAAAACACTGACGAACGCGTATTTAGTGAACTTGGCTTCATCTGACATGCTACTGCTGTTGAGTGTTTTATTGGTTTATGTGAGCATACTCGTAGGTCGTGTCATCACTCGGGATCTAAACTGTGCGATCAACTGTGTACATACGATGCTGTTATTCGTATCGCTATGGGTTGTTACCATCGTCAGCATCGAAAGATACCTGGGGATTTGCAACCCACTGAAGGCCATGATGCTAAAAACAAAAGGCCGTGTAATGTCTCTCATCTGCACAACCTGGCTATTGGGCGTGCTATTTGCTATGCCGAGAATTCTACAATGCACTGTACTAAAATCATACCATGCGATGTTACAAAATGCAGAACACGCGGTGTATATTACTTATGCGTTAATGTTTCTCGTTGCCATGGTTACCGTCGCTACTATGTACGCTCTGACAATTAAAACTTTCAGACAGTCTGCTATGATGTTGAGGGATCGTAAACAGTCAAAAAAAGTCAAATCAGATGAGAAGCAAGTACTTGTTACGTGTATGGCTATCTCTGTGGTGTTTTTCATCTGTATGTTCCCAGCATTTTATAAGTATTTAATGCTCGTAATATGGAACATGTCCGGCTCAGACGAATCACATTGGCATTTTACAATCTGTATGTCCGCTTTGTCTAGGTGGTTCTTACTGATTAACTCATCTATAAATCCACTGATATATACTATCACGAGCAAAGGCTGCCGAAGGGCGTTCTGTATAGCGTTTCGGTATCGGCATTATGAATATATGGGCCCCATGCGTTCCACGTCTATAAACGGTGCCACTATGATGAGCAATGTTAATGCCGGTCACTCCGGGTATACATATAAGCAAAGATCATCGAGCTCAAAAGAAATGAGCGTATAAACTAATAAAGTATACTGTGGGGCAGCTGGTGTACAACGGATGAAATGAACGTTCTTGGATTAGCACCACGCGTTTACAATGAATGCATCCCTAGTGGAACGCTTGGTTTGCAAGACAAATCGCACGTTTACCATTAGATCAACAGCATGGTTTAAATATCTTACTAATTCACTGCAAAATGTTCCCACCATAAAAGCATTACAATATACTTATTTCAATTTTGAACAACGCATATATTATGTAAATGTAATATACATATATAGTATTTCTACTAGCTCGGGTAATTAGGTGAACATCAATTTAATCGTAATGACTGTCAAACGTCCATGAAACAAACCTAGAATACATACCTTTTTTTTCGTGAACATATGTTATATTAGTATATTTGTTTTTTTTCACAAAAAGTTCAAGAAACGTTGTAACAAATCTACAAAAAAAATAAATAAACCGGATCATCCAATGAAGCAGCTTGCGTTTATTTTTAATTAAATTAATTTATCACTGCGACCTCTTATGGCTGTCCTGGTTGTAATTGATAATTTGAATCGTTAATCCTATTTCGGTCCCCAGCATATAGTATTTTAAATAACTGGTTACATGAAAACTCAGTATTAAATAGTATGTATTTATTCGTATATATCGAAAATATAATTTGATCTTTATCTTGTAATTTGAAAAGTTGCTTATTGAATAAATGTTATATGCATCAGAAAAAAAACGTATCTCGGATTTAACATAATAACTTGTACAGACGAACATTGTCATAGCAACGGCAGCAGTAATTAGGTCGCGACAACAGTCCTGACATTTTCTAATCACTGGGGAACACATTTTGTAAAAAAAAAACATGGCACGTTTTGCAATAATATTTACTTTACGCATTTTGTAATATAGCATACTTACACATTTTACATAACGTGTTTCAATATGCCCACCCATGCCACGTGTTATGCATTTTATAACCGGTTATTAGCTTCGATGTGACAGTAAATATAACCAATATTTGAATTGATTGCATTTTTAACATTAATCAGTTAGTCAAAGTACCGCACGTCTCAATTTGAGGTGTGCTTAAATGGTGCTTATTTTTTTCTATATAGTTGAGCGTACCTTCTGTTACATAAGATGGATGTGATAGTAACATATCTCCTATATAAATCAATCAAAACTTATTTCTGAGCAATATGGCTACTGTAATAATGAGCGAGAAAAAATGTCAACCACACAAAACATACGAACTACGAGTAGTGTCTTTCGTGGAAAATCTTATTATGAGTGGATTATACAACAATGCAACCTAGTCCTCTCTAGTTTTTTGGTCGAATTGCTGTGCATTCTTTACTTATTATTTTTACCTCTAGTCTGAAGTGCTTTTTGTACCATCTGACCGATGTTATTTCTCGGACAGGCATTTTGTTTTTAGTTTCTTTGACATTTGGCCAACTGGTGGTTATTTGTGTCTGTCGAAATACTATGTCAATACGCTGACTCGCCAACTGTTTCTCAGACATTTCTCAGACATGCTTTCATGCATTTTGTTTACATTTAGGACAACAGGAAGGCTTAATAGCTAAATCATAAACTGTTTTCATTTTTAGTTCTATAATAAAAATAAGTCATATGATCAAAATTGTTCAACATGCTATCAATCGTTTTTTTTTTCGAGCACGTCTTTGCCGTTATCATTCAACTTTGTATTAGTGAACTACTCAATTCTAATCTTGGTAAATTAATCTGCTCTGAACATTATAATTTTTACTATTTTCTCCTAGGTTTTATTTTCTGTCACCCATGTGCTTGATTCTTGTGAGCTGGATACATTTAATTCAAAATAAATTAATTAAGTATTATGTCAATATTGATGGAAGTATTCAAGGAACTATTTTGAAAATTAGAACACTAAATAATAAACAACGGATTATTTTGTGGCTGCTAATGAAAATTCCATTCAATCTAATATGCAAATGGAGCTCATATTTTTTTTGAGAGTGAAAACCACACGACTTGTTTTCTGTTATACTTCACTGATGGCGCTCTCATTATTTGCGTTGCACTTGTTGCACTGTAATGTTTATAGGCGATATCAATTTGCATAACAAATGTAGTGATTTACAGAATTCATAAGTATATGCGAATATATAATACGACGTATTAGGTTGTATATGTTTCACGTTTGTGTGAGAATTCGTGAACCTAAATATCCCAGAAATGAAATATGTATATAGTTTTTAAAGTGTGATATTTTACTTAAAACAAACCCCAAGCTTTTGCTATTCCAAGTCTATATTAATAGATCAAAACTGAAATCGAGATATCGGTAGAAATGCGTGTGTTATAGATAATCCATATACACAACAATACACTGAAGTTGGACTACGCACATACAGCAATAATATTGGTGTACATAACATAACATAATGCTACTCAAATACAACACTATGGTCTTCACGGTTAGAGCAATGATGATGGTCTACATACATACAGCAATGATACTGGTCTACACACAAACGGCAATGATGATCGCTCTACCACATACTGCAATGAAGATGGACGACCCGAATACAGCACTGATGATAGTCTACAAACAAACAATGAAGCTGTCCACACACTGCAATTACGATTGCCTACTCACAGCAACAGGGATGGTTTCAAGTAATCTGAAATAAAGATGGACAACTCACATACAGCAATGACGATGGTCTACATACATAGAGCAATGATGATACTCTAGACTTACAGCAGTGAA